CTAACGAAGATTTAATAGAGTTGGAATTGCAACTGCACTTGGAAGAGGAAACAATGGAAGAAGTACAAAAGAAGTTCATTGTAAATGGGTTATCTTGTGTGTTCTCAAAAGTGAACATGGAACGAAACCCTGTCAAAGTGAGGAGTGCCTGTATATTTTATTTATTGAAGTTTCTTTGGTTTATGCTTCTTTGAACATTTAGGTAGGTCTGGTTGTCACTTCCTTTATCATCTGAATGTTGTATGGATGTGTTAGTATTTGTAGTAGTAGTTGTTGTGACATTTACTGAGCACTTAGATCACATAGGTCACTTAGCACTCATAACCTTAAAAAAATTTTGCAACACAATAAAAATTACGAGGAACTCTTATTTGTGAATATGATGCTTTTTCATTTTGTGGTTGTTGAATACAATGGCTTGATCTCAGTAATTAATTCTGTATATATGCATGGCTTTTCAGATTGTTGTATGGGTAGATCCATTAGATGGAACAGCTGAGTACACCCAAGGTAATAATGCGCATTTAGTAAACATTTTGATACACATAATCGCTTGTTTATCCAGGAATGTAATATGTTATTTGCAGCTTCTTCTTTCAACAAACCAGCCGCATCCCACCGAGGCAGGGTGACCCAAAAGGAAAAACAAAAGTTTTTCCTTTTAAATTTAGTAATATATACAGGAGAAGGGGTTACTAGCTCCTTGCTCCTGGCATTTTAGTAATCTCTTACAACATGCTTGGCTTATGGAGGAAGAATTCAGTTCCACTCACCCATGGAGATAAGGCAAAATAAACAAGAACAAGAACTAGTAACATAGGTAGTAGGTTGGTAGACAGCAACCACCCAGGGAGGTACTTCCGTCCTGCCAAGTGAGTGTAAAACGAAAGCCTGTAATTGTTTTACATGATGGTAGGATTGCTGGTGTCCTTTTTTCTGTCTCATGAACATGCAAGATTTCAGGTACACCCCATCTTACTACTTCTACTTACACTTAGGTCACACTACACATACATGTATAAGCACATATATACACACCCCTCTGGGTTTTCTTCTATTTTCTTTCCAGTTCTTGTTCTTGTTTATTTCCTCTTATCTCCATGGGGAAGTGGAACAGAATTCTTCCTCTGTAAGCCATGCGTGTGGTGAGTAAAGTGCCAGGAGCAAGGGGCTAGTAACCTCTTCTGTATATATTACTAAATGTAAAAGGATGAGGTTAATCATAGAATTGATGAGGGAAAAAAGGTGAGTGGTGCGTTGAGGTATATGTGGAGTCAAAAAACGTTATCTATGGAGGCAAAGAAGGGAATGTATGAAAGTATAGTAGTACCAACACTCTTATATGGGTGTGAAGCTTGGGTGGTAAATGCAGCAACAAGGAACGGTTGGAGGCAGCGGAGATGTCCTGTCTAAGGGCAATGTGTGGTGTAAATATTATGCAAAAAATTCGGAGTGTGGAAATTAGGAGAAGGTGGAGTAATAATAATTAGTCAGAGGGCAGAAGAGGGGTTGTTGAGTGGTATTGGTCATTTAAGAGAATGGATCCATAAAAATGCATGGAAAGCATATAAATCATAGGGAAGGGGGCCCTAGGGAAAAAAAAGTTTGGGTTTAGAAGTGGGTAAAAGTATGTGGAAGGGGTTAGGCTCTTCTCCCAAGCGTGCTTGAGCTGTTGTTATGGGGGAAGGAGAATGGTACTTGAGACCCGACTATCTGTTGGAAGTAAAGCAGACTAGTAATATAGTGAAGGGATTCAGGAGAAACCGGTAGTTTCTCCTAGCCTGAGTCTGAAAATGGGAACTTAAATGCCTGCACTTTAGGAGGAGTGTTTGGGCTTTGGCGTTGAGATATTTGTATTTTATGTTAATGCCTTCTTACTAGTTGTATTCGATGGCACCTCTAGCAATAAACAATATAAACTGCTGGTTGGTGCTATTTGAATGATTGAATGTATTTTTTTTTGGTATTTTCTTTCTTGTATGGGTCACCCTGCTCGGTGGAGACGGCTGATTTTTGAAAAAAAAAAAAAAAAAAAAAATAAACGGAGACTTCGTTTTTTGCCTTTTTGGGCCACCCCGCCTGGTGGGATACAGCCAGTGTTTGGAAAGAAAGAAGAACTAGTAAAAAGATAGAAGAAAACCTACGGGGGGGTGTATATATATATGCTTGTACATGTATGTGTAGTGTGACCTAAATGTAAGTAGAAGTAGCAGACATACCTGAAATCTTGCATGTTTATGAGACAGAGAAAAAGCACCATCATGTTAAACAAGTACAAGCTTCCGTTTTACACTCACTTAGCAGGACGGTAGTACTGTACCTCCTTGGGCAGTTGCTGTCTATCAGCCTACTACCTAGGTGTATGCAGCTATAGAGATTAATTAAAATGTTTATAGAGTCTCCTCCAGTTGACCAAACTCATAGCTATTTCTTTAAAATTTCATTTGTTCTATCGAATGAGTACAAGAAACTGCCCATTTACTGATTTCAACTACCCAATAATGTGGTCAGAAATTTTCAATTTGGCCAATTTCATGCAAATTAAAAAATATGCCAATTTCAAAATAGGGTTCAGAATGAACAATGCAGACATTCCTGGCTCTAAAATAACATTTTCTTTGTTCATCAGTCACGTCTCCAGGCCCCTCTGATATTACTTTTGCTTTCTATTTTGAATTTTTATTCAAACAAAAATTGGAAGATTTACTGTTATGCAGACTACTGCAATATTGTAATAATTGTATATATAATGTCAACCCATTCATGACTGCATATTAGAATGGCTAGTTGGACATTTATTGGAAAATGACATCATTTGTTTACTTTTGAACATCGGCAAAAATCAAACATTTCCCCTACTTTGAGCTCCATTTCAAGGCTCTTTTCATAGTAAAACCAGTCAAAACCGCCTCTATTTCTATAATATGTTTCCCATTCTATCAAATGAGACCAAGAAAACAAGAATACAACCATAAATACTATAGGAAAATACACCACAAAGTCAGCATTTTAATCCAAAAATACAGTCGGATTTTTTTTTTCTCATTATGCACTGCGTGCTGCAGGATTTTTTTTTATATGGTGCACACTGACCACACAGACCCATTCTCTCACATGTGGGCCTACCAGCTTTCTCCTGCTTGATTTGAAGCCACTAGAATTTTTGAGTATGTATACGTCAAACAAGGTGGCTCGTAAGACGTATATATATGACTGAAACAGTCAGAGGGTTAAGAAGTTCCTACTACCAAGTTGATGGAACTGGATTGTCCCTAGTACTGGTGAAATGTTAGGGTGTTGTAGTTTGTTAAGAGGTTCTCACTACCAAGTTGATGGAACTTCTGGACTGTCCCTGGTACTGGTGAAATGTTAAGTTGTTGGAACCCACTAAAAACAGTTCCTACAATCATGTTTGTGTAACTCCTGGACTGTCCATAGTACTGGTGAAATATTAGGTTGTTGTTCATTAAGAAATTCCTACTATCAAGCTCATGGAGCTTTTGTATTGTCCCTCATACTAGTTAGGTCAGATGTTCTTTCAGCAATTATTGTACTATAAGGTTTTTTCATGCTTGTCATTAAAAACAAGGGGGCAGAACACTTTTAATTGAAAGTAATGAGGCATTTAACCCTTTCATTGTCTAGATCCCCTGAAATTAATGTTTGTCTCTATCCACTTTAAAAAACAAAATTGTTTCTGAAATGGTAATGAATCTTTTTCTGAAGGTAATGGCACCAAAAGTGCAAAATTTGATGGAAAATTTATGGAATTAGAGGCATAATGTTAGCGGTCTGAGCACAATTTACGCATTAGCAATTTTGCCCACTTTGAGTTCTATTTTAAGTTAATTCCATTGCTCCATTCAATTAAATTCTTAGCTATTTCACTAGTATGCTGTCCAGGACTCAAGTTCAGGTAACCGGTTTCCCTGAGTCCTTTCATAAATGTTAATCTTGCTCACACTCCAACAACACTTCATGAAGACCACTTGCCTCCACTAGCTCCTATCTGACATGCTTATGCATGCTTGCTGTAAGTCTAAGTCCCCTCACACACTAACCCTCCTCTACCCCCTCTCTCCATCCTTACCTAGGACAACCTGTACCCTGTCTTCTTTCACTATAGATTTATACACCCTCCAAGTCATCCTCTAAATGTCCAGACCACTTCAGGAACCTCTCTTCAGCCCTCTGGATAATACTTTTAGTAAACCTGTGCATGCTTCCAATCTCCAAACTAGGAATCCTCAGCATAATATTCACACCACACATTGCCCTCAGACAACATCTCCACTGCCTCCAGCCTCCTCCTTGCTGCAACATTCACAACCCTTGCTTCATACCCATATAAGAATGTTGCTACCATTATACCCTCATACATTCCACGTTTTGCCTCAATGTATAATGTTATTGGTCTCCACAGATGCCTCATTGCAACACTCGCCTTTTTTTTTCTTCGTCAATTCTATGTTTCACCTTGTCTTTCATAGACCCATCTGCTGACAAGTCCACTCTCAGATATCTGAACAAATTTGCTTACTCCATACTCCCTCCCTCTAATCTGATATCCAATCTTTCATTACCTAAATTTTTTGTTACCCTCATCTCCCTTTCTCTTTCCTATGTTTGCTTTTAATTTCCTTCTTTTACATACCTTCCCAGATTCATCCACCAGCCTTTGCACCTTCTCTTCAGAATATCCCAGAAACAAAGTGTCATCAACAAAAAGCAACTATGACAACTCCCACTCTGCCACCTTGGCATTCAGGTCCCCTACCACAATTACTCTCTCAATTGGTTCAAAACTCCCTTAACACTCGCTTAACATTTCCCAAAATCTCTCTTCTACATTCATCTTCTTCGGGTGAATAAACACTTATTGTAACCCACATTTTGCACCCTACCCTTATTTTAAACCACATAATCCTTGAATTTATACATTTATATTCCCTCTTCTCCTGCCATAACAGATCCCTTAACATTATTGTTACCCCTTCCTTAGCTCTAACTCTCTCAGATACTCCTGTCCTTTTTTTTTTTTTTCATCAAACTGGCCATATTCCATCAAGGCAGGATGACTCAAAAAGAAAAACAAAAGTTTCTCTTTTTGAAATTTAGTAATGTATATAGGAGAAAGGGTTACTAACCCCTTGCTCCCGGCATTTTAGTTGCCTTTTATGACATGCATGGCTTATGGAGGAAGAATTCTGTTCCACTTCCCTATGGAGAACTCCAGACCTATATATAAAATAATAATAATAATTTTTCATCCAACATTATCAAGCATTGCTGTTATGCCATCAGCCATTTATAATAAATTTTCATATTTAAGAAAAACAATATGCTTTGAACACTTTCGGTGGAATATGTGATGATGTATTTTTACTATTAAGGCTTTTCATGAAGATAACTTTTTTTTAGATTATGTATCAGAATTACTAATTGAATTTTTTCTTGTCTTTTGTGCAAGCTTTCGAATGCTGTAAGAGTGACCATCAGGGGGTTTGTAAGACTCTTGGAGTGACGTGTGAAAGTTAGTTAGGTCGTGTTAAGGCACATTTTGCACCTTCGTAGCATGAACAGCCTCATTAGTATGTCGTGTCGAATAGGTAAAGCTTGCAATTTGAGCTTGAATAGCAACACTCTTCTTGCCAAATAAGGCAGACAAAAATTTGTGTATCCAGTAATATCGCAAAAATCATTCTAAACCTAATGAGAAATTTATATTTCATTGTGTTTATTATTAAATTATTGTAAACTTATCTAAAATATATTTAATTGGATTAGGCTAAATTAAATTGTGCTTGTTATAATAAGGTTAGGTAAGTTTTTAAGGTTCTTTTGGTATAGAATTATTAATTTTTACATTAACACAAATTAAAAAAATACATCTTTAAACTTATAAGAGAAAATTTTAGAATGGACCTAATTTTAATTGAGTTCTTGCTAATCAACCAATTTTACCCATTTGGCACGACAAGTACATCTCAGGAAAGTTTAGCAACATGTCATAGTATTTTCTGCATGGTTATTACCAATATTTTGAAGGCTGGACCAGTAAGGCAACATAAGGCCCCAGTAAGATATCCCACAAGCCCTAAGACATTGTAATTAAAACCCACGTTAAGAGCACTTTTATCCTAATGAATAAAATATCACGTCTTTTCCCCCACGTAAAATCTTGTCCTAAACCATTCATTAAAGAGCTCAGAGGCTCACTTTATTAAGTGGATATAAACTTTCCTTTAATGTAATACAAAAATCGCGAACAAGCGATATAAAATACAAAACAACCACTGAGGGAGTTGAATGATAGCTCTAGGCCTTTTGTGTTGCAATCAACACATCATCAGGAGCTTGCAGTGTTGCAGAAAAGAAGAGGAGGTCCAAGCAGATACAATCATAGAAAGTGCTTTTGCTAGAGCAAAGGTGCTTCCTCTGATCATATTTGTTTGGACTACCTGTTTCCTGCAACACTGCAACCTCCTGATATGTTGATTGCAACATGAAAGGCCCAGAGCTATCATTCAGCTTTCCTTTAATGTATTATTCTTGGTGTGTAGTTAATTACTTTAACACTGTAACACAATTGCACTTGTTATTTTTAGTTAAACCTCTTACATTGATTAACAAATGAAATTACTGCATCTTGTAAAACAGGAAAATACAGTGGAACCTTATTTTTCGGCCGCTGTGTTTATTGGCCATTGTATTTAAGTGCAACTGGGAAATAAGTCAAGATGGGATATATAGCAAAAACAAATCAACAATCACCTCTATCCTGGCAAAGAACAAATTAAGGAAGCTGATGAGGCTTGTTTATTAAGTGTAGCAGGCATGTAGGGAGTGTAGCAGGCATGTAGGGAGTGTAGCAGGCATGTAGGGAGTGTAGCAGGCATGTAGGGAGTGTAGCAGGCATGTAGGGAGTGTAGCAGGCATGTAGGGAGTGTAGCAGGCATGTAGGGAGTGTAGCAGGCATGTAGGGAGTGTAGCAGGCATGTAGGAGTGTAGCAGGCAGGCAGGGAGTGTAGCAGGCATGTAGGGAGTGTAGCAGGCATATAGGGAGTGTAGCAGGCATGTAGGGAGTGTAGCAGGCATGTAGGGAGTGTAGCAGGCATGTAGGGAGTGTAGCAGGCATTTTAGGGAGTGTAGCAGGCATGTAGGGAGTGTAGCAGGCATGTAGGGAGTGTAGCAGGCATGTAGGGAGTGTAGCAGGCATGTAGGGAGTGTAGCAGGCATGTAGGAGTGTAGCAGGCAGGCAGGGAGTGTAGCAGGCATGTAGGGAGTGTAGCAGGCAGGCAGGGAGTGTAGCAGGCATGTAGGGAGTGTAGCAGGCAGGCAGGGAGTGTAGCAGGCATGCAGGGAGTGTAGCAGGCATGTAGGGAGTGTAGCAGGCAGGCAGGGAGTGTAGCAGGCATGCAGGGAGTGTAGCAGGCATGTAGGGAGTGTAGCAGGCAGGCAGGGAGTGTAGCAGACATGTAGGGATTTGTAGCAGGCAGACAGGGAGTGTAGCAGGCATGTAGGGAGTGTAGCAGGCATGTAGGGAGTGTAGCAGGCACGTAGGGAGTGTAGCAGGCACGTAGGGAGTGTAGCAGGCATGTAGGGAGTGTAGCGGGCATGTAGGGAGTGTAGCAGGCATGTAGAGAGTGTAGCAGGCAGGCAGGGAGTGTAGTAGGCAGGCAGGGAGTGTAGTAGGCAGGCAGGGAGTGTAGCAGGCATGTAGGGAGTGTAGCAGGCAGGCAGGGACTGTAGCAGGCAGGCAGGGAGTGTAGCAGGCATGTAGGGAGTGTAGCAGGCATGTAGGGAGTGTAGCAGGCATGTAGGGAGTGTAGCAGGCATGTAGGGAGTGTAGCAGGCAGGCAGGGAGTGTAGCAGGCAGGCAGGGAGTGTAGCAGGCATGTAGGGAGTGTAGCAGGCAGTGAGGGAGTGTATCAGGCAGGCAGGGAGTGTAGCAGGCAGGCAGGGAGTGTAGCAGGCAGGCAGGGAGTGTAGCAGGCAGGCAGGGAGTGTAGCAGGCATGTAGGGAGTGTAGCAGGCATGTAGGGAGTGTAGCAGGCAGGCAGGGAGTGTAGCGGGCATACAGGGAGTGTAGCAGGCATGTAGGGAGTGTAGCAGGCATGTAGGGAGTGTAGCAGGCAGGCAGGGAGTGTAGCAGGCAGGCAGGAGTGTAGCAGGCATGTAGGGAGTGTAGCAGGCATGTAGGGAGTGTAGCAAGCAGGCAGGGAGTGTAGCAGGCATGCAGAGAGTGTAGCAGGCATGTAGGGAGTGTAGCAGGCAGGCAGGGAGTGTAGCAGGCATGCAGGGAGTGTAGCAGGCATGTAGGGAGTGTAGCAGGCAGGCAGGGAGTGTAGCAGGCATGTAGGGAGTGTAGCAGGCAGGCAGGGAGTGTAGCAGGCATGTAGGGAGTGTAGCAGGCATGTAGGGAGTGTAGCAAGCAGGCAGGGAGTGTAGCGGGCATGCAGAGAGTGTAGCAGGCATGTAGGGAGTGTAGCAGGCAGGCAGGGAGTGTAGCAGGCATGCAGGGAGTGTAGCAGGCATGTAGGGAGTGTAGCAGGCAGGCAGGGAGTGTAGCAGGCATGTAGGGAGTGTAGCAGGCAGGCAGGGAGTGTAGCAGGCATGTAGGGAGTGTAGCAGGCTTTGTAGGGAGTGTAGCAGGCAGTAGGGAGTGTAGCAGGCATGTAGGGAGTGTAGCAGGCATGTAGGGAGTGTAGCGGGCATGTAGGGAGTGTAGCAGGCATGTAGGGAGTGTAGCAGGCAGGCAGGGAGTGTAGCAGGCAGGCAGGGAGTGTAGTAGGCAGGCAGGCAGGGAGTGTAGTAGGCATGTAGGGAGTGTAGCAGGCATGTAGGGAGTGTAGCAGGCATGTAGGGAGTGTAGCAGGCAGGCAGGGAGTATAGCAGGCAGGCAGGGAGTGTAGCAGGCATGTAGGAGTGTAGCAGGCATGTAGGGAGTGTAGCAGGCAGGCAGGGAGTGTAGCGGGCATGCAGGGAGTGTAGGCAGGCATGTAGGGAGTGTAGCAGGCATGTAGGGAGTGTAGCAGGCAGGCAGGGAGTGTAGCAGGCAGGCAGGGAGTGTAGCAGGCATGTAGGGAGTGTAGCAGGCATGTAGGGAGTGTAGCAAGCAGGCAGGGAGTGTAGCAGGCATGCAGGGAGTGTAGCATAGAGGCAGGCAGGCAGGGAGTGTAGTAGGCATGTAGGGAGTGTAGCAGGCATGCAGGTAGTGTAGCAGGCATGTAGGGAGTGTAGCATGGAGGCAGGCAGGAAGGCAGGCAGGCAGGGAGTGTAGTAGGCATGTGGGGAGTGTAGCAGGCATGCAGGGAGTGTAGCAGGGAAACAGGGACTGTGGAAGGGAGGCAGGGAGTGTAGCAGGCAGGCAGGAAGTGTAGCAGGCAGGCAGGCAGGAAGTGTAGCAGGCATGCAGGGAGTGTAGCAGGGAAACAGGGACTGTGGAAGGGAGGCAGGGAGTGTAGCATGCAGGCAGGGAGCATAGCATTCAGGCAGGAAGTGTAGCAGGCATGTAGGGAGTGTAGCAGGCATGCAGGGAGTGTAGCAGGGAAACAGGGACTGTGGAAGGGAGGCATGGAGTGTAGCAGGCCGGCAGGGAGTGTAGCAGGCAGGCAGGGAGTGTACCAGGCAGGCAGGAAGTGTAGCAGGCAGGCAGGAAGTGCAGCAGGCATGCAGGGAGTGTAGCAGGGAAACAGGGTCTGTGGAAGGGAGGCAGGGAGTGTAGCAGGCAGGCAATAATTTGTAGCAGGCTTGCAGGGAGTGTAGCAGCATGCAGGGAGTGAGCAGGGAAACAGGGTGTGGAAGGGAGGCAGGGAGTATAGCAGGCAGGCAGGGAGTGCACCAGGGAAACAGGGAGTGTAGCAGGCAGGCAGGGAGTGTAGCAGGCAGGCAGGCAGGAAGTGTAGCAGGCTTGCAAGGAGTGTAGCAGGCATGCAGGGAGTGTAGCAGGGAAACAGGGAGTGTGGAAGGGAGGCAAGGAGTGTAGCAGGCAGGGAGTGTAGCAGGCATGCAGGGAGTGTAGCATTGAGGCAGGGAGTGTAGCATGGAGGCAGGGAGTGTAGCATGGAGGCAGGGAGTGTAGCATTGAGGCAGGGAGTGTAGCATGGAGGGAGGGAGTGTAACAGGAAGGCATGAAGTGTAGTAGGCAGGCAGGGAGTGCAGCAGGCATGCAGGGAGTGTGAAAGGGAGGCAGTGAGTGTAGAAGGCATGCAGTGAGTGTAGCAGGCATGCAGGGAGTGTAGCAGGCATGCAGGGAGAGTAGCATTGAGGCAGGGAGTGTAGCAGACAGGCAGGGAGTATAGCAGGCAGGCAGGTAGTGTAGCATGGAAGGAGGGAGTGTAGCAGGCATGTAGGGAGTGTAGCATGGAGGGAGGGAGTGTAGCAGGCATGTAGGGAGTGTAGCATGGAGGAAAGGAGTGTAGCAGGCATGCAAGGAGTGTAGCAAGGAAATAGTGAGTGTGGAAGGGAGGAGGGAGTGTAGCAGGGAGTTGAGCAGGGAAACAGGGAGTGTGGAAGGGAGGCAGGGAGGGTAGCAGTCATGCAGGGAGTGTAGGAGGCAGGGAGGGAAGTAATCCCAGAGATGGCTTTGATATCTGAAGTCCTTATGGAGGGGGATTCCCCTTCCAAACAATAACCAGTCCTCCCTCTCTCCATAAGCCAACAAGAGTCTTCAGTAAAGGTATGTAATAGTGATTTAAATAGTATTTTTTTTATTATTTATTTTATTTAGTTCTCATTGCTTTGTGTATGTAAAACTATAATTAATCTTTAAAAAATGTATTTTTTTGTGAATATTTTTGGGTGTCTGGAATGGATTAATTGTATTTGCATTAACTCTTATGGGAAATATTGCTTCAAATTTAGGTCATTTTGAATTTAGGCTGATCTTCTGGAATGGATTATGGCCAAAAAACGAGGTTCCACTGTACGCACTTATATAATAACTATCTTTGTCTACAAGCACATATACAAGGTATACAGGCCTAGCTGACATCCGTGACATACTACTACATAGAAAGCCGCTTGTTATGCAGAGCATTTCAGGCAAATTAGGTCAGTTTTGTCTCAGGATGTGACCCACACCAGTCGACTAACACCTAGGTACCCATTTTACTGATGGGGAACATAGACAACCGGTGTAAACGCACCCAATGTTTCTACCCTCATTGGGAATTGAACTCAGACCTTCGCCGTGTGAAGCAAGTGCTTTAGCCACCAGGCCACAGGGCACTGTGGCCTGGCATGTACTCTGCTTAAGGAATGAACATAGTACAATTATTTTAAATAAATCTATGTATTATTAACTTTCTGGTAATTTGTTTCAGTAGTGAAATGTGAAGTTTTTCATTACAATATAAGCAAGTGTTATTAATAAATACAGTACAGTGGACCCTCAGCTAATGATATTAATCCATTCCTGAAAGCTCATCGTTGGCTGAAATTATCGTTAGCTGAATTAATTTTCTCCATAAGAAATACTAATGGAAATCAAATTAATCCGTTCCTGACACCCCAAAGTATGAAAAAAAAATTTTACCACATGAAATATTAATTTTAATACACACAAACTGACACTTACCTTATTGAAGATCTGGTGATGATTGATGGGATGGGAGGGAGGAGGGGAGAGTGTGGATGTTGTTAATGTTTAGAAGGGGAATCCCCTTCCATTAGGACTTGAGGTAGCAAGTCCTTTTCCGGGGTTACTTCCCTTCTTCTTTTAATGCCACTAGGACCAGCTTGAGTGTCACTGGACCTCTGTCGCACAACATATCTGTCCATAAAGGCCTGTTCCTCCCGTTCCTTTATGGCTTTCCTAAAGTGGGTCACAACATTGTCAGTGTAATAGTCACCAGCACGGCTTGCAATAGCTGTGTGAGGGTGATTTTCATCAAAAAAGGTTTGCACTTCAAGCCACTTTGAACACATTTCCTTAATCTTTGAAGTAGGCAACTTCCTCAATTTCTCTATCCCCTCTGGAGCAGTTTCCTCAGGTCTGGCCTCTTGCTGTTGAAGATGATCTTGCAGCTCATCAGTGGTTAGTTCTTCATTGTCCTCCTCCACCACTAACCTCCAACCCCAAGGACTTCCCCAATGCCACAATTGATTCCACAACTGGCATACACTTCTCAGGGTTAGCCTCAAATCCTTCAAAATCTCTTTTATCTACACATTCTGGCCACAGTTTCTTCCAAGCAGAGTTCAAGGTCCTCTTAGTCACTTCCTCCCAAGCCTTACCTATAATGTTTACACAATTGAGGATGCTAAAGTGATCTCTCCAAAACTCTCTTAGAGTCAATTGAATTTCTCTGGTCACTACAAAGCACCTTTCAAACATTGCTTTTGTGTAGATTTTTTTGAAGTTTGCAATGACCTGCTGGTCCATGGGCTGCAGGAGAGGAGTGGTATTAGGAGGCAAAAACTTGACCTTAATGAAGCTCATGTCCCCAGAAAGTCGCTCTGCCACGTCTGAAGGATGACCAGGAGCATTGTCTAATACTAGGAGGCACTTAAGGTCCAATTTATTTTCCAGGAGGTAATTTTTCACAGTGGGGGCAAATGCATGGTGTAACCAGTCATAGAAAAGGTCTCTAGTGACCCATGCCTTACTGTTTGCCCTCCACTTCACACACAAATTAGCCTTGAGGACATTGTTTCTCCTGAACACTCTGCACTCTGGGAGTTTCAGAGTGATACACCAATAAAGGCTTCACTTTGCAATCACCACTAGCATTAGTACACATCAAGAGAGTAAGCCTGTCTTTCATAGGCTTATGTCCTGGGAGTGCCTTTACCTCCTGAGTAATGTAGGTCCTGTTTGGCATTTTCTTCCAAAACAGGCCTGTTTCGTCACAATTAAACACTTGTTCAGGTTTCAGTCCTTCACTGTCAGTGTACTCCTTGAATTCATGCACATATTTTTCAGCCGCTTTGTGGTCCGAACTGGCAGCCTCACCATGCCTTATCACACTATGTATGCCACTACGATTCTTAAATCTCTCAAACCAACCTTTGCTGGCCTAAAATTCACCACTAGTTGCAGGCATTTTTCTAATTAAATCCTCATGCAACTTCCTAGCCTTTTCACATATGATCGCTTGAGAGATGCTATCTCCTGATATCTGTTTTTCGTTTATCCACACCAATAGCAGTCTCTCAACATCTTCTATCACTTGCGATCTCTTATTCGAAAACAAAGTTGCACCTTTGGCAAGAACAGCTTCCTTGATTACCGTTTTCTTGGTCACAATAGTAGCGATGGTTGATTGGGGTTTCGTATACAACTTGGCCAGCTCGGAGACACGCACTCCACTTTCGTACTTAGCAATTATCTCTTTTTTCATATCCATAGTAATTCTCACCCTTTCTCCTGTAGGGTTGGCACTAGAAGCTTTCTTGGGGCCCATGGTGACTTATTTTGCAGGTACAATCACTAAAAATGCTGTGATAATATGAAATGTTCCGATTGTATGCTTGGATGCGACCGCGGTGGCTGGCTTGTTAACACTGGCACCCACGGGACAAGTGAGGCGCGCTCAGGCCACACGTGGACGCGTCTCGAACGAATCGCGTTGGGTGAGTTTTTTAGCGCTAGCCGAGGCAAAATTTTTGCCTTAAAATGTATCACTAGCCAGATTTAACGTTAGGTGATGCCATCGTTAGCTGAGGGTCCACTGTACTATTTTGTCACTAAATTTTTAATGTATAATGGCTGTGATTAATAGATATAACACTAACAGTTTCATTAAAAATAATTGTGTTGTAAATAAATTTTTATTAGTAGTATAGGTCATAGAAAATTGCTTTCCTGATAACATTTTTGAAAAAAATTATTGTAAAATATTAAAAATCAGATTTATGTTCCAGTACAGTTTTTTTTTATAGTATATTTTGAAACTCATAACTTTAGATCAAATGAAAGGTGAGAGATTAGCCTTGAAAAAGAATTTTAAGCTCTTGACATGAAAGTGAAGTGTTAGTCTCTAAACATTGGCATGCAGAAATGATTGACTAAAAGTATGAATTATGCACCATTTGATACAAAGTCAAGTCTGCACGAGTATTATTTAATATGAAGTTGTGTGAACATGGCATCATTTAATATGAAGTTGTGTGTACATGGTATTATTTGATGTGAAGTTGAGTGAGCATGATATCATTTGAGATGAAGTCCAGTGAACATGGTATCATTTGATATGAGGTTGTGTAAACATGAAACAAATTAGATTACATTGAGTAATGTAACAAGTTATATTACAGTAAGTATTTGAAATAAGTTACATTACAGTAATTTAAGAAACAAGTTAGATTACACTAAGTAATAAGACAAATATTTTACACAGTTCTTGATTTCATGCGATATCCTTTAAGGATTTTTATTTTCATTGGTATCTTAAGGTTCATCTCAAGTGTTTAATGTATTCAAAAGAATCTACATTTCCATCGGTAGAAAAAATTTACATTGATTATAAACAGTCATCATATAGGCTAGAAAATATATTAATTATTAGTTACAAAGGCAGTTTTGATCATTTTGAGTTGACAGGTCTTCTAGACCATGTGACGGTCTTGATAGGCATTGCTACCGGTGGCAAGGCTGTCGGAGGTGTCATCCACCAACCATACTACAATTATCAGACTCCTGGGTGAGTATTTGAGAAAATGTTCATGAATTAATGTGTTCATCTCTAGGTCCCTGTGAATGAGAGGCAGTGAAAGTTGAGAGGCATGTATGTATGATGCATGGCCAGGGCTTCAGGTTTTGGTTATAATAATAATAATAACCATTTATTTTTCATTAAGGCACATTTGATGCAAGGGTTTCTTACATGTAACTGCCCATAATAATGCAAAGCATTTTGTCAAAGCATATTATTATTATTATTTCTAGCCATATTAGATCAGTCATATACAGTACTTTAATGTATACTGTACATAAATACAATAGAGCAGAAGTAGCTGCTGCAGTGTCATACTGTACCTGTACTCAATGAGCTGTGTTCGCAGAAGTGGAGACACAGCTCCTGCCCCTTCCCCATGCGTCCCTATATACATCTTCTATCAACAAACTGGCTGTATCCCACCAAGGCAGGGTGGTCCAAAAAGAAAAACAAAAGTTTCTCTTTTAACTTTAGTAATGTATACAGGAGAAGGGGTTACTAGCCCCTTATTCCTGGCATTTTAGTAACCTCTTATGACACGTATAACTTACAGAGGAAGAATTCTCTTCCACTTCCCCATGGAGATAAGAGGAAATAAACAAGAACAAGAACTAGTAATAGAAGACAACCCAAAGGGGTGTGTATATATTATGCTTGTATATATATATATACATATATGTATATTGCCGGACTTGAGTCCTGGAAATGGGAAGTGCAATGCCTGCACTCTAAAGGAGAGGTTCGGGATATTAGCAGTTTGGAGGGATATGTTGTGTATCTTTATACATATATATGCTTCTAAACTGTTGTGTCCTGAGCACCTCTGCAAAAACAGTGATTATGTGTGAGTGAGGTGAAAGTGTTGAATGATGATGAAAGTATTTTCTTTTTGGGGATTTTCTTTCTTTTTGGGTCACCCGGCCTCGGTGGGAGACGGCCGACTTGTTAAAAAAAAAAAATGTATGTGTACTGTGACCTAAGTGTAAGTAGAAGTAGCAAGACATATCTGAAATCTTGAATGTTTGTGATACAGAGAAAAGACACCAGCAGTCCTACCATCATGTATAACAATTACAAGCTTCCATTTTACACTCACTTGGCAGGATGGTAGTACCTCCCTGGGCAGCTGCTGTCTACCATCCTACTACCTAGGAACAATATACATATATGCATATGCAATGGACCCCTGCATAATGATATTATTTCAATCCAGAAGTCTGTTTGGGTGCCGTTATAGACCGAATTTGTTCCCATAAGAGATATTGTGAATTAGATTAGTCCGTTTCAGACCCCCAAAAATACACCTACAAAAGCACTTACAAAAATACACTTACATAATTGGTTGAGTTGGGAGCTGATCGTTATGCGGGGGTCCACTGTATATACATACAGCTGACCATCAATTAACACTAGTTACGATCTTGAAAATTGTGTCCAAAACAAAATCATGTAAAACAAACTGAAGAATTCAAGTGAAAAATAGAGTTACATTCATTGGACCCCCAAAAATTGGCAGATAACTTTTTTTTAGGTCTCCATATTGTAAACAAATTGAAAATGATAATATATCAGCAACTAACTACAATTACATTATGTTTAATACATTGCTTAAGGCTATAAATGTTACAGAAATAATATTTCTTACCTTAAATTATGGTTGCTGGTATATGTCATTGATTCTAAACAGAGTGGAATGGGATGCTGTGGCCCTATTGGGCTGACATTGAATGTTGTGCATTGTTTGCCGAGATGGATGGTTGTACTGGAGTAGTGAAAAATTCTGTAATGTGTCTTTGGTCTTTTTTACCCTGCCTTACTGTCAGCTACTGCTGACAGTAAAGCATTGTCAGCTGCTCTTGACCCCCTGAAGAACGTATGGAAAAAACAGGGTTATATTCATGAAACCCTCTAAAATAAAGCCAATTAAATTTGTAATTCATCAGAACTATAAAAATAATAGTTTTTTATACATTGTAGTTGTCATTGCTTGTTGATATGGGAATGTGTGGGGAGGGTTGATGTGACCCTGTACAGTATATGTGCAAGCATATGACAGAGATCTACAGGAATCACCTACGTCCACTAAAACCACTATCACCTACAAACAGCAGAAATACCATATTTTACCAGTCAAGACAAGATTTTTTTTACCAAATATGTCCTAGGGCAGTACCCACCAACTTGATTGCTAGCTCACTCAGCTCACACACTGAGGTCCGTAAGCTGATCCCCAGTACAGGTGGAAACATTAGGACTTGTTTCCTTAAGACACCTGCTGTCCACATTCACCTATCAGCAAAATAGATACCCGAGTGTTAGTCAGCTGGTGTGAGTTGCATCCTGGGGACAAAATTGACCTAATTTGCCTGAAATGCTCTGCATAACAAGTGGCTTTCTGTATAGTAGTCTGTCGTTGATGTCAGCTAGGCCTGTATACCTTGTACATGTACTTGTAGAAATAAAGATTATTATTATTACTATTATTATATGAATGTAAGCTATCCAGGAAAACCTGAAACTATTATAAAATCATGAGAAAAGTTTCTGAAGGCTCTTGAATATGTGTTGTTGTTATTGTTGGGTAAACTGTCCAGACCCCCAATCTGAATCTTATCCACACTGTCCAAGAATTAACTGCCCAGGGAGGTACTACCGTCCTGCCAAATGAGTGTAAAACAGAAGCTGTAATTGTTTTACACGATGGTAGGATTGCTAGTGTCTTTTTTTTTTTTTCTGTCTCATACACATGCAAAATTTCAGGTATGTCTTGCTACTTCTACTTACACTTAGGTCACACTACACATACATGTACAAGCATATATATACACACCCCTCTGGGTTTTCTTCTATTTTCTTTCAGGTTCTTGTTTATTTCCTCTTACCTCCATGGGGAAGTGGAACAGAATTCTTCCTCCGTAAGCCATGCGTGTTGTAAGAGGCAACTAAAATGCCGGAAGCAAGCTGCTAGTAACCCCTTCTCCTGTATATATTACTAAATGTAAAAGGAGAAACTTTCGTTTTTCCTTTTGGGCCACCCTCCCTCGGTGGGATATGGCCGGTTTGTTGAAAGAAGAAGAAATTGTAGAGAATCTTTTTGCATATATGTATATACATGCACATACCTATATGGGTTTTCTTCTATTATCTTAATACAATGTAATTCTTGTTCTTCTTTATTTCCTCTAATCTCCATGGGGAAATGGGATAGAATTCTTCCACCGTAAGCCATGCTTGTTGTAAGAGGCAACTAACATGCCTTAAGCAAGGGGCTAGTAACCCTTTCTCCTGTATAAATTACTAAATTTAAAACGAGAAACTTTCGTTTTTATTTTTGGGCCACCCTGCCTCTGTTAGATACAGCTGGTTTGTTGAAAGAAGAAAGATTCATAAATGTATGTGCAAATACCTTATAAAGCATACGTACTCCCATAATGATTATAATCAATATTATTATTATCATTATTATTATTATTATTATTATTATTATTATTATTATTATTATTATTATCATTATCAAAACTAAGCACTAAACCATCAGAGTTTAGTGTCATATATTTTCAGGTTTTGTTGATCTTTAAAAAAAAGCTTCAATACCTTCCTTTGATTGTTATTCGGTAGCTTTTTCACATTTAAAGCTGTTGTTGATAAATTAGACACATGTGCAACTCTTGGGTATCTTTATTGAGGAAACGTTTCGCCACACAGTGGCTTCATCAGTCCATACGTAGGAGAAACTTGAAGAACAGGAGGAGAATGAGGTAATCAGTCCCTCAACCTTGAGTCGATGTGTTCAGTCCATCAACCTTGAATAGAATACGGCATATGAGCGGAGAAGCAGCTTATAAACCGTATGGCAGGAGAGGTGCAGCAGTCATAGGTGGTGTCACATTTGTTCAATGTGGAAGTAGGTCGTGCCCAAGAATTAGGCAAGCGAAGAATTCCTAAGTATTAAGATACCAAGAAGTTGCAGTGTCTGACAGGTTTGTAGATGAATGGTTCAGAGAACCGACATGTTCAAGTTTCTCCTACGTATGGACTGATGAAGCCACTGTGTGGCGAAACATTTCCTCAATAAAGATACCCAAGAGTTGCACATGTGTCTAATTTATCAACATGTCGGTTCTCTGAACCATTCATCTACAAACCTGTCAGACACTGCAACTTCTTGGTATCTTAATACTTAGGAATTCTTCGCTTGCCTAATTCTTGGGCACGACCTACTTCCACATTGAACAAATGTGACACCACCTATGACTGCTGCACCTCTCCTGCCATACGGTTTATAAGCTGCTTCTCCGCTCATATGCCGTATTCTATTCAAGATTGATGGACTGAACACATCGACTCAAGGTTGAGGGACTGATTACCTCATTCTCCTCCTGTTCTTCAAGTTTCTCCTACGTATGGACTGATGAAGCCACTGTGTGGCGAAACGTTTCCTCAATAAAGATACCCAAGAGTTGCACATGTGTCTAATTTATCAACATGTCGGTTCTCTGAACCATTCATCTACAAAGCTGTTGTTAAGTGGACTGTGCTAGTACATAATTTATTCTCATACTAAAATATACATAATATGTTTGTCATGGTGTTGCAGGAGTGTGCTTGGTCGCACTGTCTGGGGAGTAGTGGGAGGAGAGGTTGGAGGGATGTCAACAGTGTCTCCACCTGATGGTTGCTTGATCGTCACTACAACAAGGTCACACTCTTCCTCCACTGTTAATGATGCCATTGATGCCCTGTCCCCCAGTGAAGTAGTAAGAGTTGGTGGTGCAGGTCATAAAGTAAGCCATAATTCTGTCTTGCTCTGTTCTCTCCTACTCTCTCATTTTTCTACACTTAAGGCTTTTATAAGAGTGAGGTGAAGAGGTTTTACTTTTATTACAAGCCAAGAGCTTTTTGATAAGTTAGTGCTGTAGCTAGTTGAAATAATGAGAAGGAAGCAAATTTAAAGTGAACACCCAAAAATGTTTGCCATTCTACGTGGGACAATAAGACTTCTTGAGTAGATAGATATGTACAGTATGAAAAGAAATGCTTTTAACTGAAACCAAATTGATGAAATAAAATGAAGAAATGAAATGGACTGAAACTATTAATGTGAAAAACTACAAAAATATATATTAAAAAATATATATGTAGAAATTTTAGTAGCAGAAATTAAAAAAATAATGTAAAACTTGAATGTACATTCATGAAACCAACTTTTTAAGGGAAGGGGAATGGAGAAGTTCTTCAATTGTTTCTTACTATTAATGCCCATAGGGCATTTACCATTCTTTGATTACATTCCAATACTAACTCGGCTTCTGCAAGATCACTGGCAGCATCATTAGTCCTCATTATTAACCAACACACATTTTTTTTTTATCAAACTACATTTGGCATTTTGGTTGGCCTCCCTCTATCACTTCCAGATAAATAAATGCAACAATTGTAAGGTCATCCTGATGATCCAACATCACTCTCGTTAGTCAGAGATCTCACTAACTATATTTCATTCACCTTTGACAGCCTGGGATTCCTAGTTTCCTGCCCTGCTCTTTGACAGTCTCACTTTTTCTGCACACCAAGCTTTCGTAGTGTATGGTAAAAAATTGTTTTAACTGACATCAATTTGCTTCATCACTTGTCACATCTTTCATTCATTTCTGTTCAGCTGATGTCTTAACCTCAACTCCATAAGTCTGTCCCAACCATCTCTTTCACCCTTTCAGTACAGCAGAAAGAAATATCAAATACCAGTATGATGGATAAAGATCTGTTTGTGACTTGCACAGCTACTGTATAAGTGAGACATTGTTAGTAAACAGTCACATACTACATTAGTGTCTTTATCTCTCTTCAGTATAATGCTGAACTATTCTTATGGGTTTAACATTTTCTATGACAATGATAATTATGTAATTATTAATAACCCTGTATCCCCCAAGTTTTTGACCAATTTTTACCAAATTACATAATTTTATACAGATTAGTGTGGGTTTCTCTTGAAAATTTTAATGTATTGTATGTAGTGTTTTTCAGAAGTCAAACTACTCTAAAAGTGCCCTGTGGAAAATATGATTTTTCTGTGGGTAATTGTCTGCATAAAGTACATATAAATTTCAGGTGATGCTCCTGCTAGAAGGAAAGGCTCATGTGTATGTGTTTGCAAGCCCTGGATGTAAAAAATGGGACACATGTGCTCCTCAAGCTGTTTTAGAAGCTGCTGGAGGAACGTTGACAGATATCAAAGGTGTGCAGATACCCTACCATGCTTCGGCTCCCCACAGGTAGGTCATATTAGATAAGTAACTATACTTTTGTTTGTAAACATAATGTGACATAATACTCTTTTTCAAGTCAATAAGTCATTCTGAAGTTGTCTTTATAGTTAGTGAAATTTAAATTATAATGAGTTACAGAAGCCATTAAGTTTAATTATTATATACACAGAAATGTGCAAAACTCTTGTGCCCATATAACTGAAATGGTTGTGTTTTTAACTAATCTTTTATACGTACAGAAATTCCACTGGAGTGCTTGCTTCAGCAGCAGGTCAGCAACATGAGGTCTACCTGGCTAAGATTCCACAACATGTTAAGGATAATTTAAAGGCTTAATCTCAAGACTATGGTTAACCACTTCCTTGCTGTTCAGGTTCAGTACTTGCATCATACATGGAGGATTTACATTACTTAAGAATGACATGTCTTTTTTTGTATGGTTAACCCTTTCATGGTCCACACCTCCAAAATTAACATTGCTCTCGGTGTCCACTTTTCTTCTTTTAAAAGTTTTTTCTTCTGAAATGGTAGAGAATTTTTTCTGAAGGTAAAGACAACAAAAGTACGAAATTTGATGGAAAACTTTTGGAATTACTCTGGCATAAAGATATCAGTCTTGGCAAAATTTATGCATCAGAGGTTTTGCCAATTGTTAGTTCTATTTTTAGCCATCCATTACTCCATTCTACTAAATTCTTTTCTATTTCATTAGTATGCCTCCACTCTTTCAACTATTTCAACTACCCTATAAGTACACAAAAGTCAGTAATTTGGCCAATTTTACACAAAACTAAAAAAAATATCAATTTAAAAATAGAGTTCAAAATAAGCAATGTAGACATTCCAGGCAATAAAACAGCATTTCCTCTGTCCATTAATCACATCCCCAGACTTTGTCTATATTGCACTATGATTGGCTGTGGTGGGGAATGTAATATATATTACACTATATTACTATGGCTTAAGGTGTCCCAATGATTGAAGCATACCTATTAAAAACTCATTAAACAGCCCAGGGATATAAAGGGGCTTACCCATCCCAAAGAATTATTGACAAAAATTTAACATTTCCACTACTTTGAACTCAATTTCAGTCTACTTTTGGTCCTGAAACCATTCAAAATCATCACTAGTATGTCTTCCATTCTGTCAATTGATACCAAGAAATAGCCAATAAATCTATAAAAGCCATCCAAGAAAACACCTCAAAGTCACTATTTTAAACCATACATGCAGTCAGAGTTTTATTTATCCCATCATGCAACACATGGGGCAAGATTCTTTTATGCTGTGTGTGCTCACCACACAGACCTATTCTCTCATATGTACACCAAATTTTACCACTCACAGCTTATGAGTGAGCTGAGCTCATAACATAGAACTACATGAGGGACCCTGGCTTTAATGATACAGTTTTACATGATGGCCACTGGAAGGGTTAATATCACCGTTTTCTTTGTTTTTATAAAATTTGATAGGGAAAGCTTCATTCAGACATAGGTACAATCTTTCTTTCTTTCAACACACCGGCCGTATCCCACCAAGGCGGGGTGGCTCAAAAGGAAAAACGAAAGTTTCTCCTTTTACATTTAGTAACATATACAGGAGAAGAGGTTACTAGCTCCTTGCTCCCGGCATTTTAGTCGCCTCTTACAACACGCATGGCTTACGGAGGAAGAATTCTGTTCCACTTCCCCATGGAGGTAAGAGGAAATAAACAAGAACAAGAACTAGAAAGAAAATAGAAGAAAACCCAAAGGGGTGTGTATATATATGCTTGTACTTGTATGTGTAGTGTGACCTAAGTGTAAGTAGAAGTAGCAAGACATACCTGAAATCTTGCATGTGTATGAGACAGATAAAAAAAGACACCAGCAATCTTACCATTGTGTAAAACAATTACAGGCTTCAGTTTTACACTCACTTGGCAGGACGGTAGTACCTCCCTGGGCGGTTGCTGTCTACCAACCTACTACCTTTAATAGGTACAATGTTTTCATAAAAATAATTAGAAACAGAAAGTTTGATGTAGACAGAAAAAATATGTAGGTTGTATGCTTTAATTATACAGAGCTTCACTTTTTTCTTCAGACACTGGAAAAAATATTCTTATTCACCAAATAGCAAGGTTGATTAACTTAAATTATTTTTATTATAATCAAAACTAACTGCTGAACCCACAAGGGTCATCCAGCACTGTGCTTGACTTAACCCGTAAACGGTCCAAATGTATATATACGTTTTTTCAACATTTAAAAGTATGTAAAAAAAGTAGATCTTCTTTTTGTTTTTTTACATTTGAAAATATGTAAAAAAAACATAGATCTACTTTTGTAGCACTACACATGTGAACGTAGATCTGCTTGGACCGTTTACAGGTTAAAGGCTGAAGAATTTTGAAGAAATCTTTTGTTAATGACTTAGTGACTGAAAATCAAGAAGAGTTTGCTACATCCAGGACTGTATAATAAGGAAGGTACTTGTCTTGAACCTTATTATTATATTTTATCATATTCTTGGGAAGCACAAAACCCATGGGGGATTCATACAAAGCCTGGTGAATGGGAGGTAATCACTGTGCACAAAAAATGTACAATAATCAGAAAGTCAATAGGATGCACAACATTCTGAGCAAAACTTAAGACTAGTATAAGAACTATATATATTTTTTTTTTTATTATCACACTGGCCGATTCCCACCAAGGCAGGGTGGCCCGAAAAAGAAAAACTTTCACCATCATTCACTCCATCACTGTCTTGCCAGAAGGGTGCTTTACACTACAGTTTTTAAACTGCAACATTAACACCCCTCCTTCAGAGTGCAGGCACTGTACTTCCCATCTCCAGGACTCAAGTCCGGCCTGCCGGTTTCCCTGAATCCCTTCATAAATGTTACTTTGCTCAGAACTATATACTTTGCAAAGAACTATATACTAGTTTTAATTTTTTTTATTTTTATGGTCTGCTGCAAGGTAATGACAGGCATTCGTCATAAACGTCCACTTGGAAAGCAATGTCAGGTCCATCCTTGACCATTGTCAAATGGTCCAGGTTGAACCAAAAAAGTCCTCTCCAAGTGGGTTGTAGGTGAAATGTTCCACCCATGATATCATGACTTTTTATTCTTTCTGTATTAACAGGAAGTAAAAAAAATATAAAAGTTACAAAGTGATTTATAAAATAAAAATTGTAAGGAGGATAAGGAGAGTAGTTTGAATTCCCTGGATCAAGAACTCTTCTGAGGCAGTCATTGTCCTTAGTCATGCATTGGACAAGCTTGCTGTGTTTAGAGACTATTTAATATTTTATTTTTAACATTCTTCCATAAATATCATAATCATTTCAGAGAACCTAAGCAAAAATCATTTTAGACAGTTTTTAGTATAATCTGTGATAGTGAAGTAAAGTCATTGGAAAGACTAGAAATAATTATCAATATGCCATATAATACTTTCTACTGATACTGGGCGATGGCAGCATCCACCAAGCCACGCTGTCAGCCTCTGTAGCGATTCCTCTTCAAGGGGGGCTCCTTGGCGTTGTGAAGAGGCTCTTGGTCTGAGGAAGTAGACCTGTCGGTCTCCTTCCTCAGACCGAACCTAATTACCCCCCAATCCCCCCTTCCCTATCCCATCCTCCCCTTTTTCCTTTCTCCTCCTCCTCCTCCCACCCCTCCCTTTTGCCCTCCTTTTTGGCCTTTGGGATTTTTTCCCACAGGCACGCTAGTTCCTAGGTAGGGGAAAGGGTACCGGGGTCCATCCCATTCTGTTCAGGTTCTTGGCGGTGGCGTAGTTTGCCGTGGAATCTGGATTGCCTGGGGATGTCCCGATCCCTCTCCGGTACCCCGGAGGATGGCTTTGGGTGTCTCTCGGGCGACGGGTGTATCTCTGGAAGCCACCTTTCGAATTCCGGGGGTGGTGGCCGAAGGAGGTATGCTTTGTGGTGGATATCCGGCCGCCCTCTCTTTTGTCCACCGAGGTAGCTCGGCAGATATGAGGTTGCTATCCCGGATTGCTGGTTTACTGGCATGATGGGTAGGGTATGGCACGGGTTCCATGCTGCATCTACGCTACTAGCGGTGCTGAGGTCCTCTTGGGCGCGGAGGGAGATTTCTGGCCCTTTCATTCCTCCTAGGAACTATCCCTCCCCGGTCCCCCCTTTTTTTATTCTTTTTTTTATTTTTATTTTCTTTTCTTCTTTCTTTTTTTTTTCTTAAAAGCAAAAAGAAAGAAGTAACCTAACCATGGCAGCCCCAGTCCATGAACCTGCTACCCCCAGGCCCCTTCTTGATACCGCACCCAGTTCCGGCCCCCACCTCGTCTTTGGACCACTCTTCGGACACCCCTCATGCCTCTGTACCTCTTGCCGGTGCTGTTTCCTCACCCGCTTCAGGTACTGAGGTCTCGACTGACTCCTTCAATTTGTCTGACCTCCGCTCTCCTTTGACTATGCTTCCGGCCTCTCCCTCTACGGTGCGGCAATTTTCGAATCGCCGGCCCATTCCACGTCGGACCAACTCTGGTCCCATGCCTAAACGGCAATGACAATTACCTGCTGATGATACTTCTCCACCTTCTCGTTCTTCTCAGAAAAGATCGACACGTCCTGCACTCCCTTTCCCCATTTATTTCAGAATGTGGCAATGGACTAAATTCTTCACTTTAAACGACCGACTTTCCCCTACTGCCTATCTTTCCGACCACAGTATTGGCAAGGCACTCCTACACCATGTTGGTAAAGATATTTCTTTTCATGCTCTTAAGAGCGGTACGCGCATCATCACTGTACAGAATGCTACTCAAGCTCATGATCTTTCTCTTCTTTCCCATATTGATACTCTTCCTGTCACTATTGAAAAACATCATTCCCTCAATTCTTGTAGTGGTACCGTCATTCTGCCCCATACCATAGTTCAACAAAATTTCCAGACATGTGGCAATGACATTCGTGAACAGCTGGAACTCCAAGATCTCCCAATCCTCAAGGTAGACACTTATGTTCTTCCTGCCCGCGGGCGGAGACGACACCCTAGCAATGTGGCTCGTTTAACTTTTGACAGCCGTGAACTCCCATCCTCAGTTTATGTAGCAGGACATCGGTTACAAGTTCGAAAGGTGATCCCTACACCGCAACAGTGTAGAAATTGCTGGCGATTTGGCCATCCAGCGAAATATTGCAGATCCATAGTCGAATGTCCAGTCTGTGGTGCCGATGACCATTCTAATACGTCTTGCAATCGACCTCCCTCTTGCCTTAATTGTCATGAGGCTCACCCTTCGTACTCTTGCAGTTACCAAGTCTACTTAAATGAGTGGGAAATCCGTTACCTCAAAGAGGCAGGTCTCCCTTATGCCATGGCAGTTTCTCATCTCCGCCTCCAAGGGAGACTACCTCGTGTTTCTTATTCCCATGATTCAAAATGTCCCCTCACTTCTGGGGTCCCATCTTCTGCAGCCTCCTCTGTGGTTACCTCTCCCATAGCCACTCCTGTATTTAATTCTTTTGCTGTCCTAGGTTCAGACGTCCCTACTTCAACGCCTCAGTCTGTTCTTGCTTCTTCATGTTCTCCCTCACAAGCTTCAGTATCGACGAGATCTTGTACGACACCTCCTCCCAATTGTCCCTCTACTTCTCAGAAGTCAAAAAAAGGTCCTTTAACCCCTCCTTCCCTTCTTCCACCTCCTCATTTTACCTTCCCTGTCTCTGTACCTGGTTCTTCCCCTCTCACTGGCTCTATTACAAGTGTAGAGGTTCACCCTCCTCCTCGTACTGTACCTTCCTCCCCTGTTCCCTCCCAACTTTCTTCCTCTTCTGCCACCTCCCAGGTTTCTGCCTCTTCTGTCCCCTTCCATGCTTCTTCTCCAGTTCTCTCCACCCTTTCACCCCCCCCCTACCTTGGTACAGTCCATTACAGTTCCAATCTTTACTCATCCTCCCCCTACCATCTCCAATATTGTCTCCCATACGACATCTCTGAATTCCGAAACACTTGAAGCAATCTCTGAATATATTGCAGAGACCAAACCATCAATGGACACTGATCCACCCTCTGTTCCTTCTCTCTCCTCTCCTCCATCTGCGCAACTCCTTTCTTCACAGCGCACCGTTCCTTTGCTACTTGACCGTTTTCTGCTGCCTCCGCACGTGGACTTTTCTAACCCCTCTAGTCCATAGGAACCCTTACCTGCGGATTTCAGGTATCTTTATCATTGCCAATCATGGCCTATTTACAGTGGAATATATGCGGCCTCAGGGGTAATCGGGGTGAGCTTCAGATGTTACTCTCCCAGTTTTCCCCTGTTGGTGTTTGCTTACAGGAACCAAAATTACACTCTGTTGTTATCTATCCCATCTCAGGCTATAATTTCTTGTATTCTTCAGATCCTTTTCCTGATGGGACCTTTAATGAAAGTGCCCTTCTTCTACGCACTGATATTCCATACCATCAGCTATTTGTTCATACTTCGCTGCATTACACAGCAGCCCATATCCACTTGCATAGGTGGTATATGCTCTGTTCTTTATATCTCTCTCCTTCTCAGGCATTATCTATTCCGGATATTGCCTTTCTTGTTTCGTCATTACCACCACTGCTTCTGCTACTTGGCGATTTTAATGCCCATCATTTCCTCTGGGGGGGTCTCACTGTGATTCCCGTGGCATTCAGTTAGAGGCTTTTCTTGCTACCCACCCCCCTCCATGTTTTAAATACAGGTACTCACACCCATTTTGATCCTCGGACTCACACACACTCTTGCATCGATCTCTCCGTCTGCTCTTCCTCCGCCGCATTAGACTTCACCTGGTCTGTTCTCCCGGATTTACGTGACAGCGATCATTTCCCAATCATTCTTACTTCCCTTCATATTCACCACCTCTTCGTATCCCACGCTGGCAATTTGATCAGGCAAATTGGAACCTTTACTCACAACTAACTGTTTTTAGTGAGGTTCCTTCTTCGTCCTCCATTGATGAGCTTTTACACCTCTTCTCGTCCTCCGTTTTAACCACAGCTTCTCATTCTATACCCCAAACTTTGGGCAGGCATTCTCAGAAATGCGTGCCTTGGTGGTCTCCTGCTTGTGCTCGTGCAGTACGTTTGAAACGCGCTGCATTGGGCAGGTACCGGTACAATAGAACCACAGAGAGACTTCTTGATTTTAAGCAGAAGCTTGCAATCGCTCGCCGCGTCATCCGTGATGCTAAACGCACTTGCTGGCGAGATTATATCTCCACCATCACCTCTGCTTCCTCTATGAGTGCAGTCTGGAAAAAAGTACGAAAACTGAGTGGTAAATATTCTCCTGACCCAGTTCCTGTTCTAAGGGGTGCCGGTGTTGATATAGCAAACCCACTAGATGTTGCCAATGAAATTGGCAATCATCTGGTCCATATTTCTCAGGGGCTCCATCTATGCCCCTCATTTCTTTCCTCAAAGTGTGCCAGAGAGTTAGCACCCTTGGACTTTTCTTCTCTCAGAGAAGAACAGTATAATATGCCTTTTACACTTCAAGAACTGGAGGTAACACTCTCAGCTTGCCGATCATCGGCAGCTGGGCCCGACGACATTCATATTCGTATGCTACAACATTTACATCAGTCAGCCCTTGTAGTCCTATTATGCCTTTTCAATCTTATTTGGTCACAAGTTCTTCCACAGCTGTGGAAATCTGCCATTGTTCTCCCTTTCCACAAACCAGGCACTACGGGACATGAAGCCTCCCACTATCGTCCCATTGCTCTTACCAGTGCAGTTTGCAAAGTGGTGGAACGCCTGGTAAATAGACGTTTAGTGTGGTATTTAGAGACACACAACAGTCTCTCCACTCGTCAATATGGCTTTCGTAAGGGACATTCTACCATAGACCCCTTACTATGCTTGGATACGTATGTTCGTAATGCCTTTGCGAATAACCACTATGACACAACTTGGAGGTATAATATTTTGGCCCAAGCCCACTCCTTAGGCCTCCGAGGCAATCTACCATCCTTTCTTAAGAACTTTTTAACTGATAGACATTTCCGTGTTCGGGTTAATAATATGCTCTCCCCGGACTTTATCCAAGCTGAAGGTGTCCCCCAGGGATGTGTTCTGAGCACAACACTTTTTCTCCTTGCTATTAATGATTTGGCCTCTAGTCTTCCATCAAATATTTGGTCATCACTCTATGTTGATGACTTCACTATTGCCTGTGCAGGTGCT